TACCTTCCCGCCACCATGAGAACACTAAAGCCAGGGCCTAGCACATGACTCTCCCACCATAATCCCAGCTTCCTAGCACCTACCAGACCCTTGTCATCATAATCCTAGCTCCCTAGCAACAGAACACCAGCCATGGCAACAGGACCCAGCTACAAGTAATAGAATCCAGCTCCCTAGCAACAGGGTCCCAGACTTAGCAACGTGGTCCCAGACCTTAGCAACAGGGCCCCAGCCCTGGCAACATGATCTCAGCCCCTAGCAACAAGAACCCAACCTTGGCAACGTGATCTCAACCCCTAGCAACAGGAAACCAGACTTGGCAACATGATCTCAGCCCCTAGCAACAGGATCCCAGCCTTGGCAACATGGCCCCAGCCCCTAGCTCCATAATGCCAGCTTCCCCACCATGCAAACCCCCAGGATGAGGAGACCATCAGCACGTGGTCCACGATTCAGGTATCTGGTGACAAAGTTGGTGCGCGCATTGAGCAAGCGCCTACGACCTCCAAGCCACAAGCAAGACCCTCTAGCACGGGGGTTTCAGTCCCCAGAGCACAAAGGTGGACACAGTTCTCTGTAGGCGAAAACCGGGGGCGACTGGAGGGTGAGCGTGGCTGTCCTGCCGCCTTCTGCGGCCTCCATGGACCTTCCTGGGATCCGTCCTTTCTGCAGGCAAGTGCAGCCCACTGAGCGATATAGCATGGCCACCGAGGCGGCGCGCGATGCCTTGTGGGATACGGACCTTCGGAGCCCAGGACCCCGAGAGTTAAGAGTTGGGCTGTAGTCAGAGGCTGGCCAGCGTCGTGGGCGGGGCCTAGACACAGGGGCGGAGCACAGGTGAAGGGGCGTGGCATTGACTGGGAGGAGACCGTCTGGGCGCCGAGGGGGCGGGGCCTGTACGCCGAGGGGGCGGGCCCTGGTGTGAGGAGCTGGGCTGTGGGCTGGGACCGGGGACAGCTGGGCCTGGTAAGGGGTGGAGGAGGGGCTTCTGCGCAGAGGCCCGGAGAGGGCGGGGCGTGGGCTGCCCTGCCCTAGCGGATCTCCCGTGCTGTCTGCAGGACAGCGGCGCCCCTCCCGAGACCCCCGACCCCGGCTCTGAACGGGGCACTGACTTCTATCCTGAGCTCTGCTTAGAAACCCGGTACGTTCTGCTCACCGCCCTTCTACGTGCCCCGGACCCCCAAGCCTGGGACGCTGCCTGCTCCCCAATCAGAACCCTGCACCGAGTCCCCCAGCTCCCCGCCCCCAACCCCGTCCTTCTCTGAATTTGCTCTTCACCTCAGACCCCAGGGCCCGGGCTCCCACCCTGAACTTGAAACCCACGGCGGGAGTCCCTAGCTGTCTGTTCTGCTCTGGGGGTGACTGACCCCCAGCCCAGCGAACCCCCGCCAGTCAGGAGCCCCGTTTATCCATCTCTCACTACCTCCTCTCCCCCAGAGCGTCCAGGCCCTTGCATTCCAGTCCACCGACATGGGGCGCCCTGGGCACTACAAGGTGCTGAACAGAGTCCCTGGCCTCCACCAGCTCCATACAGGAGCGCGCCCAGGCATGACGACCACGAAAGTCCCCAGACAGCCCTGTGCCCCAACCCCTTGGGAACAGCAGAAAACAAGGTGCACCTTTGGGATTCCGGGTCTCAGCTGGGGGTAAGAACTCGCAGTAAAGGCTACGCGGCCAGCGGTAGGCGCCTTCCTGGCCAAGGGGCAGCCTGCATCTGTAAGAGGCATCCTGGGAACTCTCCCGCCTGGCCACAGAGCAGGTACCCTGGGTGTTCAGATGGGTCACACAATCCCAAACCTGGTCCAGAAGCTACACTGCAAGGAGGAAGAGAAATGGTGACGTGAAATGAGATGAGATGAAAAGAAATACAAAATAGAAACAAGCCTTGTGAAAATTATCAAATACCGTATATCTTTTGGGGAATGGACGGTACACCAGACTGAATCCAGGGCTTTCCCACTGAGCTACACCTGCCCAGCCCTTTTTAATTGTGAAATAAGATCTCAGTAAGTTGTCCAGGTTAGGTGAAAGTTGATGCTCCTGCCTCAGCCTCCCAAGGACCTGGGATGACAGATGTGTAACACCATACCCAGTTCTTTTTTTGTTGTTTTGTTTTGGTTTTTTT